AACATTGATCCAAACAAAACATATAAAAAAATGAATATTATAACCAAAAAAATTAGCCAAAAATCTAATAGAAATTGTTGACGATTATGGCGATGATTACGATGATTTGGAAATAGACGATCCATAATGATCAATAATAATCCAAAAAAAAATCCGAATAAATCTCAGTTTAAAAATACAAACAAAACAAATTTCTTTGAAATGATTTCGAAAACGAATTTATTGATTTTCGTTTTTAGCGAAAAGTTCTTACAACTTACCGTTAGATGACTCTTAAATTTTTTTATTTTTAATGTTATCATTCATAGATGGCGCAGTACTTTTCGATTTTGTAAATAAATTCAATTGCTTTTAAAAAAAAACTTTTAAACATTGATTTATAAATAAAATTGATTACCACTATTTTTTTTTATTTATTTAAATAATAATAATAATAATAGAATAAATGGACATTAACTTTGGATAAAACTTTTCTTCGTTTGACATTAACAATAATTTTTTTTTGTTTGTTTGTTTGTTTTTTAAAGGGTATGTTTGAAGTTATGTTAGGATGAGAGAAAGAATCCAATGAATTGTGAATGTGAATTGGCAATGCGTGTGTTGAAAAAAAAAATGTTTCAAAATGGAATGGAATGTAAAAGCCCTGTTGTAAAATACAAGAATGCCTCTCTATGTGTGTGTGTGTGCTTGAGTGTTAAAAAAACCAAATAAATATTTATATATCAATCAATCAATCAAAATTGATTGGTAAAAAAATCAATAATCAATAAATAAACCAAACATGAAATAAAGATTTTCTATCAATAAAATGTTCCTGTTGTGTGTGTCGGTGTTAGATGTGAGAAAGATCAAAGTTTTTTTTTTGTTGTACGAAATAAGAAAATTCAATGGCAGTTTTTTGTTTTTGTTCAATAAATAAATGTTGTGTAGTTTTGTTCCAGAATAAAAATGAAAGAATTAACCCCAAGGTAGTAAACCCGCGAACCATTCAAAAAAAAAAGAATTGATGATAATTATTTATGCATGATTCATGATTGGTGTTAAATGTGATGATCCATTTGTTGTTGTTGTTGTTGATGATTGTTGTTGTTGTTGTTGTTGTTGTTGTTGTAATTCTAATGATGAATTGGAACTATTACCATTATTATTATTCGATGATGTAATATTATTATGATTTAATAATGATGATGATGATGATGATGAATTATTTCGTGAAATTTGTACAATTTTTTGTTGTTGTTGTTGCTGTTGCTGTTGATCATTTTCATTGATACAAGATTCATATTTTAATACAAATGCTTTTTTTGGTGATGTTACAGTTGTTGTTGTTGTTGTTGTTGTTGATCTTATCGATGATGATGATGATGATGATGACGATACTATCGATTTATTATTTGTTGTTAAAATCGATTGCTGTTCTTGTTGTTGTTGTTGTTGTTGTTTCAATTCCGAATGATTATTATTATTATTAGTTTTATTTGAAATTGTTCGACAAATAACGGATTTTGTTTGATGATTTTCAACAACAAAATTATCAGTAACAACATCATCATCAACATCATGATGATGATGATGGTGAACAACATTATCAACATCTTCATCTTCATCATCCTCATCATCTTCTTCTTCTTCTTCATCATAATCATCTAATGATCCACCGGATAAACCACCACGATGTAATCTTCGTTGTTGTTGTTGTCGACTAACAACAACATTTGTTGCTACAGCTGCTGCTGCTGCTGCTGCTACGGCTACTGCTGCTGCTGCTGATGATGATGATGATGATGTTCGTTGTATTAAATTATTTCTATCATCATTAACACGTTGTTGTCCAATCGTTGATGATACAACAATTGATTGATTATTATTAATATTTCGATGATGATGAAGTGTTAATTTATTATTATTATTATTATTATTCGGTGATCTTCGATTTTCACCATTTACATTGATATTTTCCAATTGTTTTTGTTGTTGTTGTTGTTTACGATATTTACGTTGAGAATGATTCGATGATGATGATGACGATGATCTATGTAGATTCAATAATTCTTGATCTTGATGATTATCATTTCGTTTTGTTGTTGTTGTTGTTGTTGTTGCAACATTTCTAAGTTGTTGTTCATCATTATGATCGATCATCATTTGACAATCATCTTCATCAATCATTAGCATTGATGATTCTTCATCATCATCATCATCATCATCGACAATTTCTTCATCTTCATCAACAATATCATCATCATCATCATCATCATGACCATTGATCATAGCTGCCATTATAGCTGGATCCATATGTATATCATCATCATCATCAATATCATCATCACATTCATCCATAATATCAACATATTCATCATCCAGATTATTATCATTTGATAAAATTTTCAATTTAGATGATAATGTTGTTGAATTTAAACCTAAATGATGATGATGATGACGTAAATTGGATTGTTGTTTACGGTTACGTTTCAATGTTTGTTGACGACGACCTAAACGATTTGTTGATGCGGTTGCTGTTCCATGATGTTTCATAATACCTGTTGTTGTTGAACCTGTACAAGCAGCTGCTGCTGCTGCTCTTGATAATTCCATTTCAATTAAATCACTTTGTACAGCATTCGGTTGACAATTTGTTGTTTTCCAATGTGTACGTAAACCAGATGCACTAATATAACGTTTTCCACATGTTTGACATGTATATGGTCTTTCATTTGTATGCAAACGTTTATGTAGTTTAAGATGAACAAATTGTGTAAATTTTGCTGGACATAAATCACATGCATATGGTTTCTGGCCCGAATGTAAACGCAAATGTGTTTTTAGATTTGATGTTGAACTGAAACGTTTTTTACAAACTTCACATTGATGCGGTTTTTCACCCGTATGTACTAAATGATGTTTTTGTAAATGTGCTAATTGCGTAAAACTTTTTGAACAAACATTACATTTGAATGGTCGTTCACCAGAATGCGTTCGTAAATGTACTTTTAAATTAGATAATTGTCCGAATGTTTTATAACAAATATTACATTCATAATGCATTTTTCCATCTTTTTTCTTCAATGGATATGGTAATGAACGATAACCTCTTGATCCATTACTTGAATCAACTGAACGTGCTCCATTGGAATTATCACCATTCATATCAGGTGATAAAATCATCATATCACCATTATGATTACCATGATGATTACCATGTTCATTCAAATCATTTAATGATAAACTATCATTTGAATTTTGATTATGAAAATTTGCTTGAAAATCGGATAAATTTTGACAATTTTGTCCAATATCAATTTGAATTTTTAATGCGGAATTTGTTGTTCCAGTTGCCAATGATGTTGTTGTTGCTGTAGTTGTTGTTGTTGTTGTTGTTGTCGATGATGATGAAGATTGTCGTATCGAACTACCAATATTTGCATTAAAAGATTTATTCTGTTGTTGTTGTTGTTGTTGTTGTGCCAAACGATGTGATGACATTGCTAATCCAGAATGTTGTGATCCATTATTCAATATTGATGATGTTGTTGATGGACCATTATTAGTTGATTGTTGTTTTGGATATTCAACACCTAATGATAATTTTGAATGATGATATTGTGTTGCTGTTGCACCACCAATCAATAATGATGATGATTGTGATGGTGCATTTGGATGATTATGGTGTAAGAAATGATGATTATGATTATGATGCGGATGATGATCCGAATTTATTGATGATGATGATGAAGCAGTAGAACCAGTAGCCGGTGATGTTGATGATGTTGCATATGGAAATTGTTGTTGCTGTTGTTGTTGATGAACAGGATGATGTGCTTGATGTGTTGAATGTTGATGATGATGATGATGATGATGTTGGCTAGGATTAATCGATAATGATAATCGTAAATCTTGTCCATTACGACCCGAATGATGATTATGATTATGATGATGAGATAATAAATCTGGATGTTGTTGTTGTTGTTGTGGATGTGATATTGTTGAACCTAAATGATGTGGTGGTGGTGGATGATGATGTATTTGATGATGATGCGGATGTTGATGATTTTGATTATGATTATGATTTGGATGTGTTGCAGTTGCTGCTGATGCAGGATGATGTGGATGATGATGTGAATGATGCGAATGATGTGATAATGATGATGATGGACTACCGGTATAATGTGAATGTGGAATCGATGATGCTAAATTTGGACTATGACCATTATTCGGAATTATTGTTGTTGTTTGCTGTTGTTGCTGTTGTTGTTGTTGTAATGCATGATGATGTTTAGCATATGCATACATATCAAAATGACCAGGTGAGAATAATGGTGTTGTCATACCATTAACATAAAGAAAATTACGTGCATTTGTTGTTGTTGTTGTTGTTGCTTGTATAGTCGATGTCGTCGTCGTCGTCGATGTCGATTGATTTGTAATCGATATTGATGATGACGATGTTGTTGAATGCTGTTGTTGTTGTTGCTGGTGTTCATCTTCCGATTTAATCGATAAATTTTGATTCAAAGAATTCAAAGAATTTGAATTTGTTGTTGTTGTTGTTTTTGTTGTTTCAGCATCATTAAAACGTTGTCCAAAATGTTTTTTATAATGTGTTGGATACATTTTTTGATTGGTATTTTGTATTTGATTTTTTTCAATTACAGTTTTTAATGATTTAATATCTAAATTATCATCTAATAACGATGATGATGTTATATCCATTGATTGTGATGATGGTAATGATTGCGATGTTGTTATCGATACATTTGCAACAGTTTGATTTGTTGTTGTTGTTGATGATTGCGGTGGTACAATCATCATCATCAATGGATCATTTTTTGAAATTAAATTATTTTCAACAATAACACTACGATGATGATGTTCAAATTCATTTTGTTGTTGTTGTTGTTGTTTGGATGCTAATGCTGCTAATGCATTTTTAACCAAATCCAAATGATTTGTATTAATACGATTTGTTGTTGTTGTTGTTGTACCGGCATTTATAATTGGTTGATTAGTTACATTTGATTGTTGTTGTTGATTTGTTGTTGTTGTTGTTAAATTAATACCCGATAATGATGATGATGATGATATCGGTATAATTGATGCTGGTGATGGTGTACCGGATGATATACCTGAATCGGATGCAGATGATTTTGGTGAATAATCTTGTCGTTTACCATTATCAACATAAGAAACTGTTGTTGTTGTTGTCGTGTTTGTTGTTGTTGTTGTTGTTGTTATTTCAGATGAATATTTTGTAATAGCTTTTGGCATTTTAATTTTTACACGTCTAAATTCATTATTATTATTATTATTGCTTGTAATATTGACTTGTTGTTGTTGATTTTTATTGCTACCAAAACCATTATTATTATCATTATTAGATGTTGATTGTGAATAATCAATAGCTAAATCTTGTGATGATAATTTGTTTGATAATGATTGTTGTTGTTGTTGTTGCTATTTATAAATACAAAAAATTTTACAAGAAAAAAAAATGTTATTAATTAATAAATAAAATAAAAAAATTACAAATAAAAAATACTTTACTTACCTGTGAATTATTCGAACGTTTTATTGTTGAACTTAGATCAAGTACATAATCATCATCATCTTCTTCTTCTTCGTCTTCGTCGATGTCATTCTGATGATGATCATCATCCATTATAACATCAGATTCAATTAGATTATCATTTGAATCGATTATCATTTCATTATCATCATCAATATTTATCGATGATGATGATGATGGTTTATTGGATTTTATTATTGAATCTATTAAGGGATTTTGTTGTTGTTCTGTTGTGATTCAGGTAGAAAAAAGGGGTAAGATAGGATAGATAAGAGATTAAGAGATAATCAAAGGAACAAAAGCAAATATCAACTTACGTATACGTAACATCATTTGTTCACCGGTTAATGGATAATTTAAACGTTGTGAAAATTCACGACAATACCATACTAATAATTCTTGATCCGGTGGTATCGGCCTGATTGTATAAAAATAAATTGATTGATTTACTTGACATGCAACTAAATTCTGTGCACTGGATGAATAAGCAGGATTAACAAAACGCATCCAATTTGATTGTTCAGGATTAGCACCATCAATATAATAATAATCATTATTATTATATTCTTGTAATGATGATGCTTCATCATTTATATTATCATCAACATTATCACTATTGATTATTGTTTGATTAGAATTTGTTGTTGTTGTTAATGATGATGATCCACTTGATGAAATTATTGTCGATGATGATGTTGATGTTGGTTCACCATTTTTTGGTGATAAAATTGATGATGATGTCGATGGTGGTGATTTTGGTGGACAAATTCTTTCATCGTCATTAACATTATTAATCGTCGATGATGATGATGATATTGATGTTGTCGATGTTGTTGTATTTACAATCGTTCCATTTGAATTTGTTTTCGCTGTCGTCGATGATGACGATGTTGGTGTTAATTTTGTATAAATTCTCCAAAAATATTTTCTTGATGCATTTTCCGGCACTTGATTACGTTCATAAATTTGACCAATTAATGGTCCAAAACGTGTACCTCTTGGTATATAATCTGTACTCCAAACACCAGGTATCTTTATTGTGATTTTATTTTTTTGTAAATAAAAAAAATTTATAAAAAATTTGTAAAATTATTAAAAAAAATTCATTACAAATTAATTTACATTAATCATTTTGTTTCATAGGTATAATTCATAAGTGAGAGAGAGAGAGAAACGTGTTAATTTTCATTAACATTTTTATTCCTCAGCTTTTATATTCGTAAAAAATCGTCTGTTGATTGATTTTATTTTTTTTTTAAATTTGCATATTCATCAATTTTTTTTTGGTTCCTCACTGGTTTTGTTTTGTTTTCTGTTTTTTTTTTTTTTTTTTTTTTTTTTTTTTTTTTTTGTTTTTTTCCAAAAAAAAAAAAAAAAAAAAAATTCGTTTTTTTTT